AAAAAAATGATTCAGCGAGAAATACGCACACATGGTCTTATTTACATTCGTTCTTTATTCTCTATTGTGGTTGTGTGGTTTTAACTGAAATTACAAAGAAAAATATGCCAAGCGTTAAACATTACATGACAACAAGTTTTGCATGCGTAGCAAACAAACCGTTATAATAATTTACCACAAACTGAAAGTATTATACGTATTACTTACATCGCTGAGATTCAACGTTTGCGCATCACGCAGGCGCAGACGCAGCTGATCGCTGTGCAGGCGATCGACCAAGGTCCGGCCGACCGTCCGACCGCGCCCGGCTACTGTGATGTGATCATCTCCGTCTACGACCCCGCGGGAGGCGAGCGGCCGCCCGTCTGGATCGACGCGCCCGCGCAGCCAATCGCGCTCGCGGAGAACGTGCCGCAGCGGCACGATGTCGTGCAGCTGTCAGTCAACACGCGCGGCGACGTCCAGTTTCTCGAGCTGTACGGTGAGTGGTAGCGCTCCCGCGCGGCAACGGTCAGTTCCCCGAGCTGTACGGTGAGTGGTGGCGCCCCCGCGCGGCGACGTCCAGTTCCCCGAGCTGTACGGTGAGTGGTGGCGCCCCCGCGCGGCAACGTAGCCGGGACAAGCCCGATTCTTCTAACCTTGAACGATGAACTTTAACCTAGCTCTTAATCGGACATTTTTTCCGACGATCTGTCGTCGTGTGAGACTGAGCACGGCTGTCCTGCCTTGTGTCGAAACGCCATTTCCGTCCGATCGACAACCCCTGACCTTGCTGACTGACCTTGACCCGTGTTGACCTCACTAAGCTTGACCAGTGTCTACCTCGCTGACCTTGACCTGTGTCGACCTTGCTGACCTTGACCCGTGTCGACCTTGCTGACCTTGACCTGCATCAACCTTGCTGACCTTTACCTGTATCGACCTTGCTGACCTTGACCCGTGTCGACCTTGCTGACCTTGACCTGTGTTGACTTTGCTGACCTTGACCCGTGTCGACCTTGCTGACCTTGACCTGTGTCGACCTTGCAGGCGCGATCACGAACACAAACGCCGATCATCAGTTCCGCTTTACTCCCGACGATGACAAGGATTACTCCGGCACGCTGCGCGTCGAGGCCAACACCCTCGACTACAACACCGTCAACGTCTACCAGGTGCCCGTGAGGGCCCAAGACATGGTAGGTTCCCCCATGGCAGGGTATGTTCACACAGTAGGTTCCCTCGTAGCAGGGTATGTTCACACAGTAGGTTCCCTCGTAGCAGGGTATGTTCACACAGTAGGTTCCCCCATGGCAGGGTAGGCTCACAGCCTCACACAGTAGGTTCCTGCGCAATGCGGTATGTTCATGCATGGCAGGGTAGGCTCACACAGTAGGTTCCTGCGCAATGCGGTATGTTCTCGCACGACGCGGTACGTGCACACGCAACATGGTGGTTAATGCACAACACTGTACTGTTCCCTCGTGGCAAAGTATGTTCATGCATGGCAGGGTATGCTCACACAGTAGGTTCCTGCGCAATGCGGTAGGTTGCTGCATGTCAGCGTAGATTCACACGTGACACGGTAGGTTTGCTCGCAACTCGGTAGGTTCCCACATGACATGGTAAGATCACGCGGGACATGGTGACTTTGTCCAGCTGTTCACATGCCTATAGTACCTTCAGATTGGTTGCAGAGACCCGAGGTAGAGGTAGGTTCAACACTACCTCACACTAAACGACATGGCAGTGATGCAGTTCCATGTAGTTCACACACGCATTGTTCGTTCGTTCATTATTTGTACGGGGCCGAGAACGTGGCTGGTCCTATGTGCCATGACACATGAATGACATGATTGCAGCGTAGGTTCGCGTAGTTGACGTTGTTCGTTTGTTCGCCGCAGATGTCCAAGCTGAAGACGGACTACTTCATACCGATCAACCTCGTCGACATGAACATCCACGAGCCGCAGTTCACGGCGGCGTTCTACAACACGAGCGTGAAGGAGAACATCACGATCGCCGAGCAGTTCT